CCTTTGTGGTCCCACTCCTCTCCTTTTCAACGAAGGCCTGTAGAGGCTGGAAAGTGACTCAAGATATTAGGTCAGGTGTCAGACTGGGCTCTTCTGACTCACGTAGCTGCAAGTGTTCGTGCATTGCCATTCCACAAACCAGGTAGTGGTTGGGCTCCCAAACCTGGAAGGTCAGATGATGCCAAGCTCCTTGCAGTATCTGTTGTGGCCATTGGCAACACCTCCATAGAGGTTCAGATGCAGGCAGTGGCTTTTCCTGACTCTAGCTGATCATTCCAAGATGGGGAGGTCCGATGGCAGGCACTACCTCTGAGGCTGTGGGGGCAGTTGATGAATCCGTGATGAGTAAGTGCAGTAGCAGGTTGCTTCCTTAAGGACTGTAGAGGCAGAGGAATCCAAGCTAAGCAGGTAATGTAGCTAGTTTCTCAAGTCTCACGGACTGGAGATGCAACCGGATGGAATGATGCAGAACGCAGCACTGTCACAGGCCGGTTCATGCAAAGGCATGTAGTCCCTAGGTTGCTGGAGGCATGGTGGGGCTCCAGCTGCTCTCAGGGAGACAGCAAGCAGGAGAATCTGCGCATTCATTTCTAGACCATCACAACAAATGGAATAGTTGCTTCCCAGGGCATATAAAAGTTGTGTTCGCATCAACCTGTCATTGAGTAAAGGAACCCAGGGGGTCCTGTAGCGGTTCAAACCCACCAGCTGATGATCCATTGGAAAAAGAGGGGGCTGCCTGCTCCCATAAAGATGTAGGGTTGGCACAGAGGCAGCTGATTTGAGGGGTGTTTTTTTGTTTTGCTTTGGCGGAGAGAGGGTGGGTTGTCTAGTGGAAATTCTTGAAGGATTGAGAGAATCACATTACAAAGGATGATGACAAACACAAAGGGAGCAACACGCTCTCGGGAAAATGACGCTGGGAGACGCTTGTCACAAGGTTGCCACAAACCTTACGCCTGTTTAAAAACGGAAATGTAGTACCTGCAAAACACAATAAAATAAGTGCAACAAAACAAGCATTGGAAGTGGCTCGTTATGAAATTACTGCAGGTAATTAACTTTAATATATACTGAGACAATTTTTAGATAATGATAATATAGGGGGGGCATTTATAATGGCAACAAAAAGTAGAAAACACTTAGGAATAAATTTGACCAGAAATATATAATATATACATGAGAATAATTAAAATTCTACTAAGCGACTTTAAACCCCTTGTAAGCAAAATAATGTAACATTCTTGAATGGTAACAATCCATTTCTTAAGACACCAACTCTCCCTTGATTAAATGTGCATGTGTTACTATATATCCTTATAAGACTTTTGTGGGGAGCTGGGAGCTCTTGACCAATGTTTATTAAATTCATCTGGAAGAAAGGCATGTAAGAAGAATCAGAGCTGTGGGCAAAGACTGCTCAGTCCAAAATTAAAATGATGTTGCAAATATAGCATAATTAAAAATATGGAGCCTGTGCTAAAAAATAAGTCATGGCCACATTGGTGGAACTGGCTAGAAAGTCTAAAGGCAGACCCAATTCTAGTATATATAACATTCATGTTCTTCTTACTCTATATAAACACAGGGTCTGTTATTATATTTTACCTCTAAGATACCACTGGAAGAAAGGCATTCCATTTTACATCCCACAAGGAAGAAAAAATAGCTCAATTTAATTATAACAGATTCTTGATTTATAAGATGCATGCTGATTTTAAAGGGTTAAAACTTGAAACAAAACTCTAAAATAATCGAGAACTAGGATAGTTGTATGTTCAGGATAGATAAATATGAATTTAGTACAGGAGAGATTGACTATTCAGATCATTAGAGAGTGGTTAGCGATTCCTGTATAATTTAATACTACAAAATTGCAATTTGGGAGAAAATTAAGTAGGGGTCTAGATTAAATCTGATGCCAACAGTCTAAAAAATCCTAGAAGTAAAAAGATGCTCCCATATCATCTTAAAATGAGGGACCAAACAAGCGGCCATCTAGCACAGAAGCAACAAAGTCCACGTGGAAGAAGCACACCAGCCTGTGCGATCACAAGGTGTCAAAGGAATCAGGTATCAGGCATCATCAGAACAAAAAATCATATCATTGTGAATGAAGGGGGGGAATGCAGAGTGGAGACCCAAAGCCCAATTGTAGGCCACTGGACATCCCCTTACAGAAGGGTCTCTGGGAGGAGACGAGCCAGTCAGGGTGCGATGTAGCAACGATGAAAACATGCAACTTTCCTCTAGTTCCTAAATGCTCCCCCCCTTCCCCCCACTGTCATGATCCCAGTTCTACCTTACAAATCTGGATAGACCAGAGGATGTACACTGGTACAGATAGGAACTGGAAACACAGGGAATCCAGGGTGGATTATCCCTTCAGGACCAGTGGTGAGAGTGGCGGTACTGGGAGGGTGGGTTGGAAAGGGGCCACCAATTACAAGGATCTACATATAACCTCCTCCCTGGGAGATGGACAACAGAAAAGTGGGTGAAGGGAGACGTTGGACAGTATAAGATATGAAAAAATAATGTTATAAATTATCAAGGGTTCATGAGGGAGGGGGGAGCAGGGAGGGAGGGGTAAAAATGAGGACCTGATGCCAGGGGCTTAAGTGGAGAGCAAATGTTTTGAGAATGATGAGGGCAATGAATGTACAAATGTGCTTTACACAATTGATGTATGCATGGATTGTGATAAGAGTTGTATGAGCCCCTAAAAAAATGATTTTTAAAAAAGAGGGACCGTCTATTTCTAAACACTGGTTAAAATCTGCAGTGATTACTATGAGGGGGATTCAAAAAAACTGGAAAACTAAATGAAAAACATAGTGGACTTTTCCCACTAACTCTTTGAAACCCCCTTGCATGTTTGACTACTTGAGAAATAAAATAGTTTCCAACAAAATTAAGATGGCAAAGGACAATTGTATGGGGGTGTGCATGTGTGTGAGGTAATGCAGGAAAGGCTTGCTTACTCTGACAAAGGGTGCAGATTTGGGGACAGGCTGGTGTGATGGAGAAGACATAAAGCCATAGTTAGGATGCAAGGTCGAGCCCCTGCCCTACCATAAAACCAGGATTAAACTTGAGATTGGCTACAATATCCCATCTCTGGAATGGGATGTTAACGGAAAAGGAATCAATGCTGTGATTTAAAAGTCACCTTTCCCCTTCAGTCTAATTTCCAGAAGCATCTTCCCTACTGACAGGCTTTCCAAGCTGTTGTAGTGATCACCTGAAAGGATGTATGGACAAGTGCCGTGTGAACTATATTATTAGGCTCTGGGCTACTGACAGCAAGGTCGGCTGTTGGTTCCCATAATGACTTACAGTGTCAGGAACGCTATGTAGGGTTGCAAAGAGTCAGTGGTCGTAAGTTTGGTGTTTTGTTTTATTTATTTATATAATCTGTATGGGAGCAGACAGCCACATCTATCTCCCACAGTGGCTAATAGTTTCACGTGGTTGACCTTTTTGGTTAATAGTTGGATGCTTAAGCCACTGTACCGCTCAGGCTCCTTTTACCATACACACCACAACTCAATGTCCTCTAGTCAGTGACAACTTAGGTCCACCCTGTCGGGCAGGGTAGGACTGCCCCTGTGGGTTTCCAAGATAATAACTCCTTATGAGACTAGAAAGCCGAATGTATCTCCCATGGAGTGACTGCTAACATTGCTGCCATCCTCAAGGCCAGCATTTTGAAACCACCAGCCAGCTGATTCACGGGAGAAAGTCGCAGCTTTCTACTGTAAAGTGAGTGTCAGAAACCCACAGGGACAGGTCTGCCTTGCCCTGTGCCGCGGTTCTCAACCTGTGGGTCGTGACCCCTTTGGGGGTCGAACGACCCTTTCACAGAGTTGCCTGATTCATAACAGTAGCAGAATTACAGTTATGAAGTAGCAACTAAAATAATTTTATGGCTGGGGGGTCACCATCACAGGAGGAACTGTATGAAAGGGTTGCAGCATGAGGAAGGGTGAGAACCACTGCCCTGTGGGGTTGCAATGACCCTGAATCAACTCCGTGGCACTGAGGTTTGGCGTCCCTTACATAGATTGTCTTTTATGGAGGTCATCATGGCAGTTGCTGTTTGGTACCTAGTTTTTCTCAATCCAAACTCATTATGTCTTCAGTCGACTTTTCACAATGGCTAAGTAAACAGTTAGCCTCTGCCACAGGGGGCCCCTGGTGGGAGTCAGCTAATTTATATTTAGAGACCTAATGGACAAGGACTTGTAAAACAAGATCTTTGTTTTACCAGGAGATAGCGTAGCTCACCAAGCTCCTCAGAGACCTCTAGCCTGGGAACCCCAAAGACCACCCCACTCAATAAAAATTTCTTAGACTGTTGACATAATCTTCCATGTGTGTTTGACTCGCAGAGCGGCCACGACTTGAGGTTATGTATTTCTAAGTAAATAGCCATGTTGAGTCATTCACTCGCAGTATCAAAAGCTGTCTGCCAATATGATTGCCCTGGACACATACTTGAAATTTGAGAGTGTCTCTATGAATTGCCAGTTGCCTGGATTTCACTTTTTGGGGGGTAATTGAGTTTCTAATTTCTGGTTTCTCAGTAAAGAAAGTTAATCTGCTGTCCCAAAGTTCTGATATACCTCAAAACCGTTCTCTTGGCACATATACAAAAATCCAATTAGTGTCCAAAGGGCAGATTGCCTTTGGGGACTCAACTGATCTAAAATTCGCAACAGAGCCTGGAAGGAAATAGTCCTCTGGGAGAGTTTGAACACTGACAACATACATCTAGGATGCTGTGAAAATGGTTCTCAGATGAATTCATTTCATATGTTTTTCTAGCATAGATGTGTGGAATTGGGGGTGGGGAGAGCTTAGTGTGAGATGTCAAGCGTTCCTGATGGAAAAGTGGAAGAAAAGCTTTGTGCTTCTGTGTCTTAGAGTTGTTTTTTAAAAAATAAAACTATGGATCATTAATGATAACACCTCCTCTCTATTCTGGACCATTACAGGGGTTTGCCAACTGGTTAATAAGATGGAGGAGAACACTGGCAAGGTTAAGCCGTTCAACCGGAATGATGAACAGTTTCTGGAAGCCTTTGTCATCTTTTGTGGCTTGGGGATCCAGAACACACAGATGTACGAAGCAGTGGACAGAGCCATGGCCAAGCAGATGGTCACTCTGGAGGTAGGCTGAAGCTTGCAGGGCCTCCTGGGTCTCTAAATCAAGCACACAGCCTGTTTTACCTTTTCATGTGACAAGCCACAGGGTCTCAATCCTTGCATTCTCACAATAAGTGTTGATAGAGATACTCACATTCACATTGTCCCCTTTTACACAGCTGAGACCCAAAGATGTTGAGAAAGTTGTTAAAGGTCATTTATATGGCCCAGCCAAATTCTCACTATCCTTTTTTGCCTCTTTCTTCCTCTGCTTTTTCTGCAGAAAGCAATCCTGGTCTTCAATAAGCCCTGCTCTTAAATCATCTTGATACTGTAGTCTACTCATCTCTATGCAAACATTTAAGGAGGCGGGGGCCGGGGGTGGGGGGGGGGGAGGGGGAGAGAAAACACTAAAAGACAAAGGAAAAAAACAAATGGAATTCTTAGACATTTTTAAAGCATTTGACCAAGGAAAGGAAGGGGGAAAATTCAAATTAAAAGAATTGTTTCACCTCATAGATAAATTTCACCTTGGAAATGTATTCATATTGAGATAAATCTGAAGTAGGAGCTGGAATCCAGATAGTTAAAAAGTTTTTTCCAGGGATTCTGAAAGAGCAGGCAGGCTAGTGGACCAGTCTCCTGTACAGTAGTGGATTTGACCGTAGGTGGACTGACCTGAGACAGGCAGGGACCCCTCCCAGGGAGGACCAAACTACCCAAGTGGTGCCAGCCCTTCCTGAAGGTATCTTGCTAACTTCCTTGAAAATGTTCACTTGACATCACGTGGATGTTTCTGAGCCTCACAGATCAATCTGGGGACATAGAGGTGTAAAAGAACAAGTGTGAAATAGGTTGCCTGTTGGCCTGTGCTAATCTAGTTAACCTGTTCTCACCTAGGGGAGACCAGTGAGGATATAACCACTTTTCCTCTGACTCTCAATGAACATTCCACCCAAAGAGCTAGAAAGACATACATGATCTGTAAGGGCACTTCAGAAAGTTTGGTGAAAAAAATAGACTGAATGACAATGAATTTTTTTCCCCCGTGAGCTCTTTGAAGACCTCTCACACGGCAAGATTGACCAATAGCTTTAGATTCCACTTTACTTTCTAGGGCCCCTCACCCTGATTATCTAACACTCATCGATATTAGAATTAGACAAGAGACCTTGCAACATACACCTTTGGAAAATCTCAATTTCTAATATATACACGCACCCAGCGCCTGAGTGAGACAGAAAGGCAGAGACTGGCCCAGCTTGCGGTAAATGATTAATGCCCAGAGGCACCCTGAAAGAAAGAGGCCTTGATCTGCTCCCCCTGTTAGCAACCATTGAAAATCTCTATGGAGCATCATCCTACCGTGGCACAGGTGTCCCTGTGGGTTGGAATCAACACTGCTGCCATCCGTTTATCAACTCCCATTCTCATGCGTATGCCTGTGTTAGCATGTCAGCCCAAGGCAAGGCATGGAATCCTGCACTCTTCAGAGATGGGTTTGTGTGGAATTGCCGTCTTCCCAACTCTTGAATCCAGAGTGTAAGAGACCCATGAATCTATGGGTTAATGTTACACCCCAGCCATACAGTGTTTCTTAATGAATTCGACAGGGGTTAAGGCTTCACATGCAAGTCTTCTAGACTCTTCCTCCACCCCCTGCAAATATTAACATTAAAACGTCAGTTTAAAAAGGGTTTGTTTTTTCCTTTTTACACAAGCCAAAATAACTATGGCCAGTTCCTACCCCCTAACCTCTTGCCTCCTTGCTAGGTTTTAAAAACAACTGAAGATAAGAAAATGCAGGCCAAGTTTGAGCTAGTAGTTATTGCTACTGTGCCTTGTAAATAATAGATTTGTTGTATCAACAACACCAGAATGAAAATTACTAGCATTTCTTTTGAATGCAGGGTGTCTAGCTTTTTGCGTTCTAAAGCAATCCTTTGCATCTAGAGCTGAGATTTCCGTGCGTGGTGCCAGAAAGCAGCAAACCGAGCTTGAGCTTTCTGGGGAGCCAGTCATCGCTCCAGGAAGGTTCAACAGAATTCCAAGCTCGGCATTGTAGTTCTGTCTGATACAGCCATTCTTTCTTCTCTTCTCCTCCAGGTTCTGTCATACCATGCTTCCGCCGCAGAGGAGGAAACAAGAGAGCTCCAGTCTTTAGCGGTAATGCACTTTCTTCTCCTTAAAAATCACAAGGAAGGGTGCAGTATAGCACCGGCGAAACATACAACTTTCCTCTAGTTCTTTAGTACGTGCTCCCCCACCCCCACTATCATGATCCTAATTCTACCTTACAAATCCTGCTAGATCAGAGCATGGACACTGGTACAGATAAGAGCTCGAAACACAGGGAATCCAGGACAGAGAAACCAATAATGAGAGTAGCCATACCAGGAGGGTAAGTGGAAGGTGGGGGGAGAAAGGAGGAGCCGAACAAAGTGGTCAGCATATAGCCCGCTCCCAGGGGGACGGACAACAGAAAAATGGGTGAAGGGAGACAGTGGTCGGTGTAATAAGTGCAAAAATTTTTTTTAAAATAAATTATCAAGAGTTCATGAGGGTGGGAGGGAGAGAATGAGCTCAAGTAGAAAGAAAATGTTTTGAAAATGATGATGGCAACATATGTACAAATGTGCTTGACACAGTGGATGTATGTATGGATTGTGATAAGAGCTGAGAGTGCCCCCCAATGAAATGATGGTTTAAAAAATCACTAACTCCAAATATAGCCAAGCAATAGAGAAATATGCTTTGCTCATGATACTTGCTTCTACCAGTAATGGTCCTCTAGACATTGAACCAAATGTGGTCACTATTGAGATGGACACTCATAAAAATGTAATCAGTCCCCCTTTCCTGGACAGGCACAACATCACCTGTCGCACAAAGCAGAAATAATACCTTACATTGCCATGGTAACCAGTAGCTCTGATTTATGCTTTTCTAGTCATTTTTATGCAAGATTGAATTTGGTTTTCAGTTCTTAAGAACCAGACTCACTGTCCTGGAGTCCATTCTGACTCGTAGCACCGCCACCAGATAATGTAGAACTCCCCTGTGGGTTTCTGAGACTGTCGCTCCGTGTAGGAGTAGAATGCCTCCTCTTTCTCCATGAAGCCGCTGGTGCGTTCGCACTGCTGACCTTGCACTTCACAGCCTCTCGCGTACATAAGACCATTAAGCCTCCAGGGCTCCTTTAGAGCTAGAGGAAGGCTGAATACAGAGACTGAGGAAGGAGAAGGACCGCTGGATTTAGTGATCTTGTGATTGATGAGAGAACAATTTGAAGGGAGTAGAGTTATAAAAAGTAAGAGCAAGTGGAATCTAGATGTTTTTTGCCTAGTTCTGATTAACAGAAAGTAGAGAAATATCTATGAAAGATGTTGGCTGACCTGTGGAGTTTTTAATTATTTTTGTTTTTGTAACAAGAGTTGCTGATAATCTAATAGACAGCTTATTCTTAGACAAGAGGGACCAAAGAGCTGGGTGTGAGACTCACCATGCAAGACAATGAAGAAACACGGAGCTTGACGTGACCAGAGCATGAAAGACATTTCGTTCATAAAGACAGGCTCAAAAAGGCAATGATCATAGCTGCAATGACTGAATATTTCTTATACTCAGATATTTGGCCTGTGCTTTGTGTGTGAATAGCGAGGTGTACTTATCCACAGCCAACCTATAAAAATACCTATCGTTTGCATTGTGAAAGGGAGTTTGAGGTTGGGCGAGTTCAGATTGCCCTATGCCACGCTCAGATACACGTTGCAATGAAACCACCAGGTTGGTGATTCAAACCTACCACCACTCCATGGGAGAAAGCTACGGCTGTCTGCCCCTGTAAAGATTAACAAATCTTCAGAAAGCCCGTGTGGAATTACTGTGAGTCAGAATAGGAACTCTATGAGGGCCGTGGAGTGGATTCCATGTTCAAAACCAGCAGCCACTCTACAGGAGAAAGAGAAGGCTTTCTAATCCTATGAAGATTTGTGGTCTGGGAATCCACGGTGATGGTTCTACTCTGTCCTGTTGGGTTACTTTGCGTAGGGATCGACTCAGTGGCAATGGATTTGAGTTTTTAGGTTATTCAAATTCCCACATTCCCTGGGTGTGGCACAACTGAGTAAGCACTGAAAGGTTGGTACGAGTCCACACAAAGATGCTTCAAAAACTAGACCTGGTGCTGTACTTCCAAAAGAATATCACAGTACTAGTCGGGAATACATCCTCGTGCAGGGGGTTGCCAGGCGTCAGAATTAACTCGATGGCAACTGGCTTGTTTGTCTGCTTTGGGGATCAGGTTCTCCGAAGCTGTTAAGTGGAGATGGTTGTTGTGAGGTGCCTTGCAGTCCGTTCCAACTCGGAGTGATCCCAAATCCAGAATGACACACTGCTTGATGCTGGGCCATCCTTGCATGTTGTTTTGTCTGAGCCATGGTTTCAGCCACTGCCTTTCAGCCACTGCGTCCATCGATCTTGTCAATGGTTTTCCTCATTTTCACTGCCCCTCGACTACCAAGCATGATGTCTTCCTCCAGGGACTGGTCTCTCCTGACAACATGCCCAAAGTACCTGAGACCAAGTTTCACCTTCCTTGCTTCCAAGGACTACTGTGGCCGTACTCTTTCAAGGCACATCTGTTTGTCCTTTTGGCAGTCCACAGTACTTTCCGCAGTCTTCCCCAGCACCCTAGCTCCAACGCATTGATTCCTCTTCGGCCTTCCTTATTCAGCGTCCCGCTTTCACAGCGCATGAGGCGACTGAAAATGCACGCTAGTCCTCAAAGTAGCACCCTTGCTTTTCAACACTCTCAAGAGGTCTTGTGCCGCAGATGGACCCAGTGCTAAGCTTCATGCTGGCACCACTATTGAAATTCAGTCAGAATAGACTTAGCGCTCACCAACACCCATGACACAGCTCGGGAGTTAGAACAAAAAGACATGGAAGGAGCACTTGTCGTCATTCTCAGCTACATAGTGAATCACAACTGCTGGTCATTGGCCAAGAACAACTGAAAAAACTGTCTTTTAACCTGAAACGTTAAATTTCTACTGAAGTAGCTGTATTTTTTTGTGTTCTTGATACTATTTGAAGTAATGAGCCGTTTCCGTTTACATATATAAGTTTGCAAGTGAAAGTTTCTTCAATCTCAGGTTCATCAGCCGGTTCGTCTATACTGTAAGGGGATATAGTTTTCAACTAAATGTGTACAGTGAGTTGAAATCAACATATGGGCAAATACATTGGAGGTGCTTGCAAGTGTTGTGGGGGGTCATTAATTTAGTTCTAAAATGAGGACAAGGTTACTCTTATCATACATTGCTTTAGATAAATAAAAGCAAGGAAATAGAGTGCTTTGTAAAGATAGTGCTCAAAAATATCACTAGAGTATAAACTTTGTTTCACACTTTTAAAATACAGAATAATCTTTCAGGGGGAAGAAACCCCTGAAAATTATCCTCTCAATTATGTTGATAATTTTAGCAAGAGAAAAAGGCTTTGAAATAACTGAAAATTGCTGTGTTGCCTTATTGTTCCAAACCATCTGTTGTTCTATTTGGAAAATCGGTTGTTGGCAGCTGTATTAGCAAGTTGGGGTCATGTAGCCTATAGATCAAGTAATTCATTTACATTAGTTGAAATTCAGCTTACTTTGATTCTAGTTTTCTAGCAACCAACTAAAAATTCCTTTGTAGGCGCTCCACCAGGTGTGTGTAATCACAGTCTACACCACCCATTCATTAGCTGAAGCATTGTCTTTGGTTGCTGATCCAAATTCAACACCTAAAATAAGTTAAGGGTTGGAGCAGACTATTTCAATTGTTCTCTTAGCTCATCTTTAATTTAAAAATTTGTTCTTAAGAGAATTAAATCTTATAATTAAATATACTCAATATTTAGACCTTTATCCAGAAAAATCCCTTCATAACAGCAAGGTCATTTTGCTGACAGCAAAACGGAGTCCTTATACTTTCTGTTCTTGATTGACTCAGGTTTTTTCCTCCAGTTTAAAACGAATCTTCTCTTGTTTTAAAATTGAGTCTTGCAGAAGTTGAGCCTTCGACTGAGCATTTTACTTGTAGGGCAATGAATTACGTGATACAGCTCATACCGTAGTCTTTGTTACTTTCATCAAATGACTGGGTTGGACCATGTAGATAAGGTATATGGAAATCAAATGAGCATTTACCATCTTAGCCGCCAGAACAGATGATCTCACCACCCTCAAGAGAAAGGACCCAAGAGTGTAACATGACCCGTGGACCTTGGAGATGCTTGTCTGCTGAATCCCCGCAGCCCAGAAGACCAAGGGCTGTGACACCAGAGGCGAGGCAGAGCAAAGGCAGCAGCACCAGAGCACCACACAGAGTGAGGGGCTTCCTGTGCCACAGGATGAAAATGCGGAGTGCCTTTCTTGCTGCCGGTCGGCTGCGTCCAGGCACTTAATTGGGGAAGCTAAGTTTGCTCGGCTAGAGCTGAGTTTCTTCTGGTTGATGCTTTATCTTGAAGTGGAGTGCCCTTTTGGCATTTATTGGCAGCGCTAAAAAGAACTTTGTAACATTCCTTGTGCGGGGCAGAGGCCAAAGGGCCTAATGAGAGAGCCAAAGACCAGAGAGAGAGATGACTACAGGCGTGTCAGAGAAGAGGCTCTCCTGATGAGAGAAGCACTGTATACTAAGCATTTCTGTTTCTGAATTGTAGCCTATTAACCTCCCACATGAACCCCATAAGCAAGAGCATGGTCTGTGACCTCTGTGTGGCCACTGCAATGAATTACTGAGTGTAGCAGAGAAGTAAAGAGTGCGGTCGGAGGGATGGCTAGTATCCAGATTGTGAGAATTTGGAGTGTGGAGCCATGTTTAACCTGTTACCTCATAGATACTAGCCTTGTGCTGATCCTTCCAAAAAATTACTCATGCATGCACTCCTCATCCCCTTTAATGATCCTTAGCTACAAGTTGTCCAGATAACAATAAATAGATCCCATGCTTGAGCTCCTTCTGTGCTAAGTACTGTGTGCAGTTCTAACCACTACAGTGTAGGGTTGTATGGAACTAAGTAACCAGGTTATTAAGTCTGCCTGTATTAGGCTTAATTGCAGTTATAAGTTTACTGTAAAGTTTTACTTATGAGTAAATGAGTATTTTCTCAGAATCCTGATG